AATTCATTGGAAACGAAGAAAAATAGCGCTGAAGACTTCAACTCTTGAGTGCATCAATTCATAAATCTGTGAATTTGGGCAAATCACCAACTGGAGTTTGAACCAGGTATTTATGTGAAAAATGAGGATACCTGAAAACTTTTTAGAATCCATGAATTATACCAATTATCAAAGTGAAGGAAACCAACTAGAACAACAACAACAAAAAGGTTACCCTGAAACAGACTGTAGTAAAACTGTAGAATATCAAGGAAAAACACGAGGAAGAATGGATAGCATTAAAGACAGGTTATAAACAAGAATTCGTTTGGTTGACTGGGTTCTGTAACAGCAACGACAGAAACCAGTAAGGGTACGGCTAACAGAAAGTTGACATGCATTTTTATTGTATTTGTAGCTAAGACGTTCATCAAGCCGGGGGACCAAGCAAAGACATTTTCTGAGACAGAGAGCAGGCTCCTACTCAGTCCTCTCCCTCCTGAGCGACAGACTCTCATTTCACATGGGGTGACAGTCCCTTAGACACAAAACTGCACATCTCTGCCTCCTTTGCTGCTGGGCTGGGTATCCAACACATTCTGACCACAAAGGCAGAAGGCCAGATGCAGAAGGGATTCCTGGGAACTGTGGGAGTCCCTGCGGCCTGGTGCTCTTCTCTGCTCCCCCTCCTGCTGCTGAACGGGGAGATGGGATGGGGGGGCACAGCGGCTGGGTCACACCAGACCTCTGTGAGGCTCAGGCACAAGCTGGGGGAGCCCTGCCTGCAAACCTTGCTCGCCTCTGCATTGTTAACGGGGGGAAAGACAGTGGCCTTTTTTCGGTATGGACATAGTATACTTCACTTTGATCTCAAACCTGCAATTAAAAGAACATTCAGAATTTCAACAGAGATAGTGTATATTCTAGATCCTTTGAACAAAAATACTCAGAACAGAAACTGAGTTGTATAGAAATGGCTATATGTATGGGAAAAGTAGCCAACTGCCGAGAGGTTCCGGAAATCCTTAGAATGGAGAGTAGAAATGTATATAAACACTTCAGCACTAACAATGGTAGCGGACTTCAGAGTCTTAATGCTAGTTTCATAAAACTAAATTTTAGAAGTTTTATTTAAATCATAACCACTACACTTGAGTGATTTCTACATCTACAAAGTGAATGTATTTCATCCCTAAATTAAATACAGAAGCTTTTGCTGAAAGGAGGACAAATCACTATGTGAACTGCAAATGCACACGTATCACAGCGTTGTGTTCTTATACGTTAGAAACTATTTCACTGTGCTTCGCCAAGAAAGAGGCTTTCTTAAAAGCTGTTGTTTCAGTGAGTCGTAACAGAACGCAATACTATTTGTTACAGTCTGAAAAAGACAGAAAACTTGATTAACGAAAATATTTCTGTAGAAAACCAAAGTGAATCTATAGTCACATTTTTAGAAATAATAAAACTGTACAGCATATATTAATACAACACACTAAAATCAACTGTATGCCCATATGCCACCAATGATCTCGAAAAATTTATTTTTAAAAAGGTACAACTTATAGCAACACAAAAGATAAGGGTTTTTTGAAATTATTCTTATATGAGAGATATACCATATTTATGGAGAAACTTTTTAAATTACTGAGCAATTAAAAGTTCAAAGTAAATAGAGATAAACTATAAACTGTGTAAACAAAAAAATATGCAATTTCATACTGAAATTTTCTTTCCCAATTGTTCTATTCTCCCCAAACTACTCTGTAAATCATACATAATGCCAATAAAAATTGCAGTAGACTTGCATAGGACATTTGTTAAGCTGATGCTAAAATTTATGAAGAAAATCACAAAGCCAAAAACAGCCCAGAAAATGATGAAGAGCAAGGTTAGGAGACTCAACTGACCACAGCTCAGCATTTATTACAAAGCCGCGGCAACAGGCAGTGCGGTGTCGGGGCAACAGACTAGGATCCGAGACACTCTACGAACAGGAGAACCTAACAGTCCCCAGCGCGTCACTGGAGAAGGGGGGACACACGACGCTGGGGCACCTGGTTATCCAAAAGGAAAAGAAAACTGGGTTTCTAACTCGTGACAGACACTCAGGTGGATTTCAAGTGAAAGAAAGGGCCTAGAAATAAAACATACAACTAAAGTAGCAGAACATCTTTATGACCATGGAGAGCAGAATGAGGTCTTAAGACACAAAAACTACAAATCTTAAAGAAAAAGATTCATAAATTTGACTACTTGTAACTTACCCGTCTCTGTGACATGAAAATGCCAAACATTAAGTTGAACTACAGCCAGGAAGATGATAATCAGGGTCTGGAGAAGGTCTAATGATTAGTAAGGAATAAACCAAACTAGCCCCGTGACTAAGGGGCACGAGAAAGTGGCGATCTGCCGACGAGGAAACCGCACGGCCATGCGTCACTACAGAAGGATGCTCCCCCAACCCCCACCCAGCAGAGTCCACAGTGAAGCGTCATGGACACCGACCAGGTCAGCAGAGACGACCAGAAGTGACAGGACCAAGAGCCACGCGAGGACACGGCGCACGGAAACCCTCGTTCACTCCAGGGATGGGCGCAGGTTGGAACAACAATGTCCGAGCAATAAGGGACACCCACCGCCTAAACGTGGGGCGTGCTTAGCCAGGATGCGGTTATTTTACTGCCGGCTGTGTGGGGCCTGGGGACACTCCTGAACCAGGCCCGTGTCACAGAGAGTTCACGGCACCCTGTTATGAAATAAAATCTGTGAAGATTCACTCTGGGGATGCATGCCTAGGCATCTGCTGCATTTTTTTCGAAGATGGGATGGGAGATACTGCAAACTGAACCAGGTGAACCAGATCACTTTCGGGACGCAGGGCGCCCTGTTTTAGAGCAGGTGCAGACTGAGGGGCGGAGCTGGGAGGCCACCGGGGCGACCTCTGACAGGTGAGTCCTTAAGAGGCCTTGTACACCCGCCTTGGCCCAGACGGAGGCAGCCCCTGACTGCATCTCCCTTCTCCTCCAGGCTCCGCCCCAGCCTGTCACTTGTAGGTGTGACCCACACGATGACACTGACCTCAGGGCTGTGCTGCCAGACAGTGGTGCTGAGTGACAGGGGCTGTTCCAGGTAAGGACTTGTTCTCAAGTCGACATGATGTGATTTCAGTTATTTTTATTCCTTTTTGTGAGGTCATGTCACCTATCAGAAGATCCCATTGATTATGACTCTTGTCACAGCTAATTAATGAAACACTGTGCCTCAACTCTATTGCTTTGAATACTCTGTGAAGTTATTTACTTACTTCCATGAAGTTGAAGAGAAAAAAAGCAATCATTCCAAAGTGAGAGCAGCCTGTAGACACGTGGACAGTGACAGTGTGCCCTTCGGAGGCCCAAACCGCACCCCAGGCGGGCGTCAAAGGCCCTGCCCTGGTCCTGCCCACGGCCCGTTCCCGGAACAAAGTCCATTACACAGAATCAGGGGGTGCGCTTACAGTGGGGTGCAGAGGCTAAGAGGAGTCCTGCAGAGCCCCAGAGACCGGGTCCGACCTGAGTCTCCCCTGTCACCATAAGAGACAGATGGCTGAGGCCACGGCCGGCAGGGCCGCTTCCCTGTGCTCGGTGCTCCCCCGGCCTCGGTGTCGGCAGTGAAAACTGAGGTCACCACCGACCCAGGAGGGCGTTCGCCACTGCACAGAGGGTTCTGGGAGAGACCGGGAGCTCTACAGTGCGGCTGGTTTAGGCTGGAACATTTCCCGAAAGCTTCTCTATACAGTGAGCTCACGTCCCGTCCGCTGACCGGCTCTGAAGCCGGACCCGTGTGTCTGTGCACCACAGACCGGTTCTCGCGCCCTTTACCTTCTGGTGCATTCTCCAGACCCTTGCTTCAACATACCTAGTTCCTTCCTGATTGCTCCAGCAGTGGCTCATACAGAGTTATTTTAAAGTATCTTTTTATCTTCAAGTTATTTATTTCTTGAAATATTTATTTCCTGCAGGAACCTGCAAGCTTTGTGTGATATAAAAGAATGGCATGGTCCCGCAGTGGAGTTTTTACACCCTCAGAGGCACTGGTCAGCCAGGAGATAATCGCTCTGATGTTCCGCGAGAGCCCTCTGATTACATTACCATTAAAGAGACTCCAGCTGACTCACAAGGCCTGAAGATTCTTCTGGAATCACATAATATTGCAGGAACGGATCCACAGCCCCTCCCAAACCAGATGCTTTTAGCATAGCTAGGACCAAATGCAGTTGATAAGCAGTCGGGAAATATTTTAGAATTTACCAAGAGCAGCTCATCCCATAAAACCTCCAAGGTCTGACCACCAGAGGGACGTGCTCCGTGGGAGGGGCAGCCCCCTCCCTGGGAGAACCAAGCAGGTTCCAAGGACACAGAACTGAGGACAGGAGAGCAGGGAGTTCTGGGTGTGACACAAAAGTGCAGTCGACCACAGGACTGGGTCACAATTAAATGAATGAATTTAGCCAATGACAGTGCAGAAAATCAAGAGCTAAGCCAAAGATTCTGAGAAAATATTTGCCAGTCACATATCCAATAAAGGACTTGTATCTGGAATATACACATAGGAATCTTACGACTCAACCTGAAGACAGAAATAATGCAACTGAAATATGAGGCAAAGGCCTGCACAGACGTTTCTCCAGAGAAAATACGCCAGTGGCCCATAAACACACAGGAGGGTGTTTGGGGTGACTACTTACCAGGAAAAGTCAAGTAAGACCCACAGTGAGAGAGCACTGCACGACCACTAAGACATGTATCGGAAAAGCAGGTAATGACAAGTGTTGGTGAGGACACGGAGAAGCTGGAACCCGCGCCCGGCGCCGGCAGGAACGCAAACGACTTGGCCGCTGTGGAACACAGCCCGGCAGTTCCGCGACAGGCTTCACAGACCCTTACCAAACGGAGCCGCATTCCCACTCCTGGGTGTGCAGCCAAGGTCGGTTCGGGAGGAAAGAGAGAAAACCTCGCCTGCGCGAGGGCTGTACTTACTGAGGTTCCACTTCAGGCCCGTGGTCGTGACCCGATGGCAGGGCTGTCCCACGGGAATGAGGCCACACCAGTCACCTTCCAGTCCGGTGTCCACGTGCAGCCTGTGCTTGCCCTGCGGTGGAGAAGGGACGTTCAGTGAGAAGGAGACGAGACGGGAGGGGCACTAGTGGGCAGCGAAGGCCCCGCAACAGGTGTACGTGCTGAGCAACGCTGGGAACTCTCACCCGACTAAACCCCAGCGACGGCGTTGCAAGGCAGCTTACTGTTCATCACCCCTTTACATAGCAGGAAACTAAAGCTGCAGCGATTAAATGTGTCTGAAGTCTCACACACGAAAGGGGCGGACTACAGACTCCTGCCTGTCGCCACCGGCCAATTCCAGAGACTAAACCGAGTCCACACGCTAAAGACACGGTGGCTCAGAATTCTAGGGATTTAATCAAACCTGGCTCAAGTATAAATAAAACATTGGTTCCCAAGTAACACCTCTGCTTTTCCCGAGAAACGAGACTCTAAATTTCAGCTTCAAGGTCACCCCTGCTCGCGGTGAGCAGCCTGCTCCCCCATCGCAGACAGCACGGGGTGCCCGGGGAGAAGGGCCTCTGCTGGGAACGCACCTGCTCTCAGGCTCTTCCATTTACGAGAAGTTACGTGTCATGCTCAATCAAAGCCACAACGCTGGCTTTTAAAAGAACACTTGGAGACTCCTGTTCTTCTACAAAGCAAGGATCTGCCGTACTTGTTCTCGTCACTCTCCTCAGGGCAGATGGTCCTTACAGGAAGATGCCTCAAGTGCTTGTGGGAAATGCCGAGGCATACACTCGATAATAGAAAATGCCAAACAAATAAGAGTATTTTTTTATCATTCACACACCACAGAAGGAACACGTTCCAAAGGACATTCTTTAAGAAACTAATGTTTTAACATATATGTGATTATGACTGATTAGGGGACTAAGAACCCTTTAATAGTCATTTTACTTTTATTCCAGTGATGCCTTTTGTTCTGTTATAAACTCTAAGAACTTTATTTAAGCCCTCAATATATGAGTACGCTCTTTCTGTCTTAATCAAAGGGTTGCTGTTATTACTAGGAAAGCAATTTTCTAGGTTTCACATCAGTCCTTGAAATTTGATACAAGTTCATCTGGATTGTTAGTACCTACATATTTTCATACACTCAGGTGTGCGCCGAACACTCAGAGGCCATGAACTTGATTAAAAGGGCTTAACAATATTCAAATGCAAAGACAAATTTTAAAAGAAATTTAAAATATAGGGTATGGCAGAAGTAAGGCCTGCTTGAGTGTGGTTGGTAGGGTAAGAATATGATGTAATAATTTATAGTTTTAATTTGAACATTTCACCTTCAATGTCATGCTGTGGGCTTAAGTGTGATACTGTCATGTTATCATGCTCGCAATTTTGTAGTAAAAGATTTTGTGGTAAAAAGGGCCTTATTTGTGCCAGACCCTGTACATTTGGAACGTAAAGAGGTGACATGCGTCCAAGTGCAGGCAGAAACGGACTGGATGTGTGCCCAGAGACCCGCGGGTGGGCTAGAAAACAACGTGCGGGAGGAAACAGAATCAGGGTATAAAGTACAGAACATGTAAATTAAAGTAAGTCCACACACCACAAAACCCTTTCTCTAACCCATGCACAAGGACATGTCTGTCACGGGGAGTGTGAGGAAAACACCCGTGCACGGTTCAGGGGCGAGGGGAGGGACCAGCCAGCTAATCACCCAGGAGTCCCGCCCAGGCTGAGAAGACCATGCGCCCGGAGCAGATGAGCACCAGTGCACGAGCACCGGGATCTTAGAAATACAAAACAACAAATGCGTCTCCTAGATACAGAGCCATGCAAAACTTAGAACTTCTCAGACCCTTCTGGGGAAAGCGTAAATAAAATACTCTAAAAATTCTGAATAGTAATTAAAGAGAGGAATAACGAGACTACAGCCGCAAAAAAACTCGGGGATGAAATAAAAACTAATCTCGTGCTTGAATCTTTGATGATGTTCTTCTTGTGCCAATTTCGAGTGAGAGCACAGCAACCATTACTGCTGTTCGACAAGCTTTCTGCATCCTACAGGGCAAAAGCAGTGCCGCGGTTGGCCGCCGCGAGGCCAGGCGAGGAGGAAGGTACGCTGGACCTGGACTTGGCATCTCTTTACGTGTATAGAGATCAGGGGGTCGAGCCTAAAGGTGTAGATTTTAAAAAGGAGTTGAGCATTGATCTAGGCGGGAGCACCGGGTAGCACTGGTAACAGGTGGAGAAGACACCTGCCCTGCAGGGATGGACCAGGGGTGAGGTTTGAAACAGCCCTGGTCTTCGCCAGCTGTGCTTCCCACCCCTGGGCCCCGAGGCCAGTGTGAGAGAGGAGCTACCCACACAGCCTTGCACAGGGAACTGTGCTGCGTGCGTGGAAGGCAAAGCACAGAGTAGACTGCAGATCTGGGACCGATCTGGTGTGTGTGTGTGTGGGGGGGCGGCGGGCTGGCAGGGCCCCCCGGGAGCAGTGATGCTCAGTAGAGGGTGGACAGGAGTTGATGCGGAGGAGGGAGGACGAGGAGGGAGGACGGGGAGGGCGGCAGGCGGAGGGCGCGCCTGTGCCAAGGCCACAGGGCGGAGTCGGGACCCTCACGGACACAGGGAGGGGTCGCCAGGGGAAGGGTGGCACACGGGGGGATTTTAGGGCAGTGCAACTACCGCGTGCGCGTGTGTGTGACACGTAGTGTGAATTCAGGACATTAAGCATCTGTCAGACCCGCAGCATGTACGACAGGAAGAGAAAGCCTGAATGCTAACGAGGGGCTCTCGTTAACAGCAACGTGCCCGTCGGTTCACGCCCTGTGACAGGCGGACCGCCCCGCCTGGAGGGAACGGGGAAGGGCTTCCGGGGAGCTCTCCCACCGCTCGGTTTTCTGTCAACCTGACGTGGCTCCAACCACCAAGTCTGTCAATCAGAGTACGTCTGTCAACAACGGCCTTTCCGTTTCTCACCCTTAACAGGGGTCCGACGGGGATGACACGCAGGTTTGGAACCTGCGCCCATCACAGGAAGGCACCGTGGGGGAGTCCTGCAGCTGCCTCTCAGGACCCTGACAGACTTCTTAATTTTCTTAAATGACAGGGTGACTTTTGGTCGGTTGGTTGGTTGGTTGGTTGAAGCTGCCTTAATGTCTCGGTGTAGAATTCTTCCCTGGATTGATTTACACAGAAGAACTGGTCACGTGAATTTGACTTTGCTTTCTGCCCACTACCCTCCATGATAGACACAATTGCCTCTGAGATACAGATGCTAAATACAACGTAGGTTATCATCCGAGATGCCAGCTAGAACTCTCTCTCACACGTTCTGCAAGTGGTAACAAAGCGTGCGCACAACGGAGGGAGCGGGTGCGAGGGTGGTGTGGAACGCCGACTCCCGTGGGTGTGCCCCGGCGCAGGGGGGACTCCCCACACGGGGACGGGTCCCAGCCCGATTGGGGCTGTCGTCCCAGGCCCCCCTCACAGAGCACGCCTACCGGGAGTGCCGGGTCGCCCACAGCCTCCTGGGCGCTGGGGGCCGGGATGCACACCTGGTCCAGGTGGCTCGACCTCTGTCTCAGGCACCAGTGACCTGCTGTTCGTGACTGTGGCTTCCCTACGTATCAAAGAGGGACTCGTGTGTCCTTGGGCCGTTACAGTCAGTTTCTATCCTTTAACTGCACACTTTCTTCCCTCTGTTTGTGGTTCGCTTCATGGCCTGGTAGTGGCCCACTGGACAGGTTCACGTGTGGGGTGCCCCAGCTCACTCAGTGAGGAATGATGGAGACAAGGGACAATTTCTCAACTTGCCCCTACAGGACGATTCTTGATTCTCCAACCTGTATCCAACAACGCAGAGGAAGCCACGCACGGGCATGTGAAGGTCATCATCTCGGGACAGGACGGCTGTTACGGAATCCGCTGCTGAAACATTCAGCCCTGTTATGTAGTCACTGCCTTCTTCATTATTTTAGGATTCAAATTCAACACACCTTGAACATTTTAATAGAGAATAACTAGTTTGTGGACTCAAGGAGCTACAGATAGGTCTTAGCCTACAGTCAAGTCACATTTTTTCTTTGGTCCCGAAAAGATGTTTAGCCACATGTGCGTGGCCTCTGTGTTTACAAACATGCCCATTTAGCTTTGTACAGTTAAAGGACAGCAATATGGTGCTTTTCTTCTATATCCTCAGGTGTGTGCGACATGTTTCGAAAACGAACACCACCAGGAACTGCTCTTCATGCCTCAGATTTCTGGTTTGTAACATGCAGTAGCCTGGGTGTGACCTGGCACAGGCGGGCACACAGCCTGATGGTAAAGGGCTTCCCTAAAGGTTCACGACGGGGGCCCAGGGCCCCCTGGGGCAAGTCACCCACTTCCACTGCTCTCCTGAATCTCCCTGCAGGCCCCACTCTGTCCCCAGTCTGAGCCTTCGCAGGCTACAGCACTCTGCACGGCAAAGACAGGAACGAGAATCAATGAGACAGTAAGCTCTTCCAATCATGGCTATTTTCAACGCCTTAACTAGCCCAGAAAGGTGTAGAACTGCAACTGGGTGAAAGGCAGCAAAGGTGCTGCTTGACACGTGGACCAGAAACCACCTCTGTGCCTGCGTTACGGGCGGGCAGCCTCCGGAAAGCGGCGTCACTCTGCCCAGACGGCAGTGCCGAGGCAGAGCAGAAGAGACACAGAGTGTCCTAGTGAGGGCAGGAGAGGTGCCCGTCACTGGCTTTCATTATTATCTGCCCCTGCTTTACAAATGACTAGCACGTGACTTAGAGGAAAGATAAAGCTCAGCCTAGATTTTGCTTTTGCAAAAATACCAAACCCCAAGGTATCTGAATCCTGTTTACGTCTCTAAATCCTTAAACCCAACAACTATGCCAAGCTTTGCGCAGTTATCTCGGGGGGGTGTCAGAAAACGCACAGCAATGAAACGAGATCACCAACGAAGCACCTGCACCCAGGGAGAGCAAGGGCGTACTCGGTACCTGGGGGAGGAGGTTCCGGGAGCAGACGGCAGTGCCAGGAGTGGAGGGCCACTCGTCGGATGCCGTTAGTGCCGGGATGACA